TTAACTCTTTGTTAAGGTAGGGTTCTGCTTCCAGTGTGGAGGGCATACTGTTCTAAGCTTCAGGGGTTTTGTGCAGCTGTTTTCAGAGATACTTCTAGGGATCTGTAAGTTTTCAGTTTTTCCAAGGTGGTATGATCTAAGGAAAGGTATTTACTCCTCTCCTGGCCTGTGTTCTGGTCTATGAATACCTAAGAATACCACAAGCGTTCTTTTCTGCCCTGGAACTATGAGGAGGGTTCCCTCTCCACTGCTGCCACAAGCTCTGCTATGCCACTGCTCCTCCTCACCCCAGGACTACCACCCAGATCCAAGTATGGGCAAAGCAACAGAATCCTGTGTCAGTGCCAGCAAAGAGACCCCTGTGATCTCCTTCTGATCAGTTGTTCGATCCCTTTACCACCTGTGGGCTGAAAGCTCCAGAAGCAGCTACTGCCACCACCCCAGGACTGTGCTGGTTTAGGTGGACTGTGCTCCTCTCTCACCTAGGTCTGGCAGACCATTCCTACTGACCTTCTAAGTTGTCTTTGGCATTTGTGGGTTGAGAAGTCTGGAAACCGCCACAGCTGCCAGTGATTCAATCTCTCAAGGCCTGCTCTGGGTTTTCTGGGGCTCGGGCTGTGTTGGCATGGCCCGCACTAAATTGTGCTCCTCTCTCAGCTTGGTGCAACAGACCTTTCCTGTCCACCTTTCAGGTCATCTTGGGTGGAAATTTGCTTCACTCTGTCTTTTTGTGGGTTCTGCTACTCTAGAACTTGTTTAGTTATTTTTTATAGGTATTTGGTGGGGTTTGGGGAAGAGCTCAAGTGAGTCCCTGCCTTTACTCCAACATCTTGGCTCCGCCCCCAGGGCCCCCTTTTTTTTTTTGTATTCTCAGTGCATAACACAGTGCCTGGCACTTGGTAAATATCCAGAGGCAGTTAGATGCACAGGGATGGAGTATTGGCCCTGGAGTCAGAAGGACCTGAGTCCAAATCTGGCCTCAGACATTTAGCTATGTGTTCCCAGGCAAGTCACTTAAGCCCAATTGCTTCCAAAAACAAAAAAGTGTCCAATAAATGTTTAAGGACTGACTGATTATTAGCTAGAAAAAGTAATAAAATTAAACATTTCTAAAGAGACTTTGGAACCAAGTATGGTATATATGGAATATTGCCTTCATCCTCCTACCCAAATAATCCCTTCCCCACCCCCCATTTCTGTCAGGAACAACAACAAACCACGACTCAGAATCTTACCTTCATTAATTATCCAGGTGCTAGGAATGATCCAGATTCTTACAGATTAGCTGGTGGTTTCTGAGCAGGGGGAAATGTTATTTTTTTTCAATTGGTAGGAAACAAAGATCCTAGAAGCTTTGAACTTAAGAACCCCCCACATTGGGACCTGGGGAACTCCCAGAGACAGATGTATGCCACGAGAACAAGTAAAACGGGAAGTATGATGGAATAAAGAGACATTTCTGTACCCACAACTCAAGGATTTCCAGGTGATAACTATCCATCTGTTCTGCATATATACTTTTCAAGGAGCTTTTAGGAAGCTTGAAACAAATAAGCACCTGGCCCCTGGAGACCACAAGAAAGTGTAAAATGACATAAACATAAAGATTCTATGATTATAGGAATGAGAACAAAACTACAACTGTGAAATTAAATGTCTGGTTTTCTTTGCATGAAGCTGGGAAATTAATCCCTTCCCATTTGATGCCTTTTCCTTTAACCTATGTAATTTCTTTCCATCTTTGAAAAGAATTTATTAAATGAGATACAAGGCAACCAATGATATATATAAATGAGGTATATAGATATAAACAGCTCCATTGTATAGATGGAAGTATACACAGCTCTCTACCCTAGAAAATGAATGCAAATTTTGATCCCTGTAACCCGTCAAGATATCTTGGGGTTTATGGGTTAGATTTCTTTCTTAAGTATCAGGCCTTAAACCCAAATCACTCTGGCTCTTATTGATCAGCCCACAGTAGGTCCCAGCCCAAGCCCACCTGGTCATTGTTTGGGCATCAATAGTTTCTATTTTGGCCAGAAACCCTGAGGGTCTTCTCCTCCCAGATTAATTTTTTTTTTTTTTGCTTAATGGCTAGAAGAGGCCATTCTTTACCATGGCCTCCCACTGCATCATGGCCATCTCCAGTCATCCTGATCTATGTCTTGCCACTGGACCCAGATGGCTTCGGAGAAGAAAGTGAGGCTGGTGACTTTGCACAGCCCTCCCTCACTTAAATCCAATTCACTTGCATGTCATGCCATCACCTTCCCGATGTCATGGTCCTTTTCAAGAATGAAGGACAATGTGTGACTCTGGGTGAGTCACTTAACCCCACAGCCTAGCCAAAAACAAACAAACAAACAAAGAATGAAGGACAAACAGCAACAACAACATATATTACAAAATACTATGGTCTGAGGTCCTTGGTCTAACCCAAATGGAACATCCTAATCAGTCTTTCTTTAACTATCAATTTCCAAACAATGCCCTACACTGAAATTTTAAAATCATTATTAAGGCCCTATCTAGTCGAGGAAAGGCCAGTTCAGTCCTGGAAGGACCCCTCCTGACATGATTGAAGTAATGGTCAGACTAGAGGAAGAAAGAAGTCTGATAATTTCAACTTAATAGAAATGTCTTAAGTTCACCTTTGACCAGGTAGAAAGGAGACACCTTAGAGGGAGTGGTTAAAGAAGGATTGAATGATTTTAGACAAATGATTATCCAGGGAAGACCAAAAGTTAGGGAACTATTGTTTCATTTGATAAATTGAAATGTTAACTGACCTTTCACTTTTGGTCTATAACTATGTCTTCTCTTAAGATGCAATATTTTGTCTTAGTTTAAGACCATTATAAATTGTAACTCCAAACTGGCTTGTCAGAGGGAAATTTTTGAAAGTTGGATACATTTCTGTGTCTTTTCTGATTTCTCTGTGTGTGCAGAGAGACTTAGAATTAGAACAGTTCAATTAATAAATTATCTCTGCCAGGTTTGTGCCCAAAATGAAAAGCATTTTTTTTCCTGCCACATATATATTTGATGTTAGGATATGTGCATTAGAAAGGAATAAAATACAGATTATTAAAATACACAGATAATTCAAAGTTTAATTTTAACTAGTACTTTTTACCTGCCTCCCCCCCAAAAAATCCTTACTGGAAACATTAATAAGTAACAAAATTAGGGTAAGTTAGCTCTTTTCTCAGTCTCTGGAAGAATCCCTAACAGCCAGACCTGATTAAAAAAAGATCAAATTCAGCCCTCTTGTCTTCCTACTTTGATTGTTTCTAAAACAAAAATTTATGCATAATTTCATGTTGCCATCCATGACTATGGAGCAGATTTGAGTTGTTAATAGAAATGTCCTCTTCTTTTTCCACTTAAAAAAGACTAACTAGCCTTACAGACTTTGAACCTAAAAAACTTGAACTCCCGGTCAGGTCCATGAAGTCAGATCAACATTGTAGTCATGGTACTATCTAAAGACATGCTTTTATAGCTGGAAGACCCTGCATCTCTTGGGTTCTTTACATTTGATCCAACTGATTCGCATCAAATGACCAAACACTACAAATGGAATTCTGTGAAATGGAATAGGGGGCTGGGGGAAAGTATAATGTTTAGTAGTAAAGATGTTAAAATAGGAAAGTGTTGACACTGGCCCATTGGTAGGAGGGCAGTTTTTAGTTGTTTTTCTAAGGGTAAAGCTTTGCTTGATTGAACCATCTACACACACCCTCTTACTTGGACTAGACCCTCTTCCGACCAAAAGCATATACTTGTAAGAATACTTGGCCAGAGGGGGCAGCTAGATGATGCAGTGGACAGAGCACTGGCCCTGGAGTCAGGAGGGGAGGACTTGAGTTCAAATGTGACCTGAGAGAGAGACAGAGACAGAGAGAGACAGAAAGAGAGAGAGAATACTTGACCAGAGTTAGGGGATCTAGTCTATGGCCAGGGAGGGGAAGAGAGCTGACTAGAGTATATGGTCCAAATATGAAACCAAGACCTATCCCCTAAAGAAGGCAATAATCCACTAATACAAGTGCTAGCAATAAATCAGGCCCTGAAGAAGACAAGAATGTGGCAGAACCAATAAGTCTGGTTTGGGAACACAAACACAAGTCAGCGAAGCTTTCACAGTCTGCATGAAGTCCTTCCTGAGCCCCCAGTGGCAATCCTAGAACCCTAAAGGTGGGAGCAATCAGATCAGTCCAGCCTACACATTGAAACTGAGGCTCAAATGACTTAACTAAGGTCACACCAGCAGCTAAGTGGCACTGTGAATATAGGGCTGGGTCTGGAACCAGGAAGACCTGAGTTCAGATCTAACTTCCACCACTTAATAGCTGTGTGACCCTGGCAAGTCATTTAACTGCCTCCATTTCTTCAACTGTAAAAATGGGGATAAGAATAGCACTTGCTTCACAAGGTTGTTGTGAAACAGTGAGCACAATGCCTGGCACATAGTAGGTGTTTAATAAATGCATGTTTCTTTCCTTCCACAGTGAATTTTCAATAAATCTCTCAACTTCTACGTTATGTACCTTCCCATCTTTCTAGTATTTCTACATTTTACTCCCCAACTACATTATCCCCAGACTCCATGCCTTTTTACTGACTGCCCAGAATGCTCTCCCTTCCCCCCTCCACCAGCTGGCTTCTCTCAGGACATAGCCCAAATCCCACCCTCTGCAGCAGAGCCTTCCACCTACTATGGTATATATCTTATGTCACACTTTAGGCTGAGTGCCTTAAGGACTGGAACCCTGTCTTCACTGATGCTTAGCACAGTGCCTGGCATATAGTGGGTGCCCTAGCTTTGGGAGCATCAAGGATGAGAAACAAAGACATTTCCTACCCTCCTTTTATAATCCAGTATGGGAAACAGGACATGGAAAGCAAAATGTAAGTGCTTCTCTATCCTAAATTGCAAAACTTTTATTGCTATCTAACAGTGATTGAACTTGAACACAAATGAAACACAAACATAACTTAAAATACTGCTTTATTGCAACTGTCCATTAAAAGACTGCTGAATAAAATTAACATTCCCCTCTGCCATTCATTTAGAATTGATATTTTTGCATAGAATTATATTGTGTTTCTATTCGTTCTTCCCATTTATGGCCTGAAATCTTTCTGTCCCATTGTAAGGTGCATGGGCTAACTCATCTTTCCTAGAACAGATCTGATATGTGCTTCCATCAAAACAGCCTTCACTGGACACATATTTAGTGCAAATTAAATTTTTGCTAGCAGCTCCAGAAATTGCATTTCATTTCCCCCCCTATGCGGATAAGGCAATATTCTCCCTTTAACTCTCAATTACTCAGTACCCATTGTAATCAGGAACTCTGAGGTTGGCCGTTCAAGCTTGATGCTTTGGGGTGGGGGGGGGCACTTTGGGGTAGGAGATCACAATTAATCAGCCATCCTTCCCACTTAATCTAAAAGGGAGTGGTGGCCTATGAATCCTCAAGGGAGGTCTTGGGAAAGATTTATTGTAAAGAATAAGGGGGGGGGAGGGTGTGGCACTGGACAAAAATACACTGAGCCACAGTGGAAGTCTCCGATCCCTGAGTGCCTGATACTTTGATCCGTGGTAATAAAGCATAGTCTGTGCTGAGTTTTTCCAGACTTCTACGTTGGCCCTGTGTCTGCCATTCCTGCTTGAGAAAGCAGAGACTCCAACACCAGCAACTTCTGGCAGACTACTAACACAAGTCTAGAGAGACGTGCCCCCTACGTAAGCCACTTCTCATCGACCTACCCAGTTTCCAGTTCAAGATTCGGCTTGCGTCCTTGAAGTCAGAAGTGACTCTGATCTTGGCAGACTGTGCAGTTTGTTCACAGGGTCACCCCAGATCAAAATGTCTCTGCACGTTTGAGCAAGAGACACTTCATTCACTGCACTCATCTCTGTCTCCTGATGCTCGGAATTTATCGTACTGGTGGGCCATTTTCCATCTGTGGTGCTGACTTCTGAGTAATGCAGCAAGGGAGGTCTTTCTGCTTATGTTCCTTGACACATCATGGCTCTTGGCCTTCCTGGTGGGTGAAGGACTTCTAACTAAGGAATGAACTGGGAAGATAGGCTTCCCCCTCGGGGCTCCAAGAAGCTGCCATATCTCCCCAGTGGTATTGCTGGTCAAATACTGCCAAGGCTTCTTCCCGCTGCTGTCCCGTACGTTCACTCGAGAGTCCAGCCTCTGCACCAGAAGTTTGATGATCCTCTGGTGCCCATGGATGGCAGCGAGATGCAGCGGGGTATACCCGCAGCTGGACCTCACATTCACGTCAAGGACGATCCCTGCCTTTTGGGCCCCCTTGACCAATTCTTGAAGGGCCTGGAGAGCACCATGTTTGGCAATCCAATGCAATGCAGTATACCCAGTCAAAAAGTCTTTTCGAAGAGCCAGTTGAGGGTCTTCCCAAAACAGAGTCAGTGCCTGTACCCATGAGCCACTGGCTACTCTCACAATCCATTCATGCTCCCGGGAGTCCAGGGGCACTAAAGAGGATTTGTGGACAGAAGGTCTGAGTGAAACTAAGAGAGAAGACACACCCCCAGGGGGAACCCAAGTGCTACCTGCCAGTCTTTGCCTTGATGTGGCCTTGGAAACCGCTGGCTTCAGGGCCAAAGGGGCATCTACCTTTGGAGAGGGCACTGCTCCTGCCCTTGACGCCTTTCTGGATCGAGGCGGCCGACGGTTCCTTTTTACTAAGTCTTCCTCCAGCAGCTCCTCATCAGAGGAGGATATTTTGTCCCTCCCTGCCCTGGAACTTCTCCTCAGAGATCTCTTTAACCTGCCAGTTGGCCAGGGCATGGGGTCTTGAGACAGGGTAGAGGACTCCTTGGGTGTTTTGGTTGACATTACAACAGGACCATTCACTCTTTCTGGGGTATGTTGGAGGGAGTAACCACTTCTAAATATGGGTCCCTGGGATTTATTGAGAGGAGTATTTTCCTGCTGAGATTTGATAAAATGCCCCCCTGGGGTCCTGAGTTTTTCCTGGGCTCCATTTTCTAGGGGAACTTTTGGGGCTTCCTCTAACTCCCCTAGAGACTCCCTTGGGCCACTGGTACTCTCCTCACTGTCGTGGCTGTCCTCTTCCACAAAGTTCTCCAGATCCTGGAGGTCTAGTTGACAACGGATACTCCGAAAAACTGAAGACCCCGCAGGGAAGAGCAGAGGGGAAACAGGGAGAGGAGGTGGCAGCTTCTCTGACCCTGGATCCCCCCAACTGTAGGGGAAGTTCTCAGGCACCACACACCAAACCCGCCCGGGGCTTTGCTGTGTCCTTTCTGCAACACTGCGTGGGCAGGGCTGGGAGTGGTTGGCCACCCACTCTCGGGTTCGTTGCTGCTGCTGGGCTGCATAGGAATGGGGTCCACTTAGGGTCAGTAATTCTGCCCTATCCCCAGGGAAAGCAAGGGATGCCAAGGAAGGGCTAGTCCCCGATGCCCTGAAGGTTTCCGTGGCCAACGGTGAGGGCTTGGTGGATGAGCCAGAGCTAGAATGCCGTGTGCCTTCGAGTGCTCCCCCTGAACTGGTCTCCAGTGCCTGCCGCTCTCCCAAGGGAGGGCCCCCGCGTGAGAGGAGGTGTGGCTCTGTGGAGCCAGCCCAAGGGCTAGCCCGGACCCACTCCTGGCAGCCACCTGGAGTCCCTGAAGCAGCCAAGCACACCCCAGGCTGGGGCGAAGGGCCTGCGGCGGCTGCCTCTCCCAGCCTCCCGGGGCTGCAATCACCTGCAATGCCGCGTTCGGTGGACTCTGGAGCATCATCCCCAGGCCTGGCCGAGAGTCCATTGCACTCTGTTTCCGGAATTGAAGCTCCTGCACCTGCCGGCTCATTTCCTGGTTCCTTCTCCCCAGGTTGCCTCCTGGCCCGCTGAGGCTGGGGCTGCTGCTGGGGCTGATCCTGCTGAGGCCGGGGCTGATGGTGCTGAGGCTGGAACTGGGGCTGAGATTGGTGCTGCTGGGTCTGGGGCTGGTACTGCTGAGGCTGAGGCTGCTGCTGCTGCTGCTGGGGCTGATCCTGCTGAGGCCGGGGCCGGGGCTGTTGCTGCGGGGCCTGGGGTTGAGGCTGGTATTGCTGAGGCTGAGGCTGCTGCTGCGGGGACTGGGGCTGCTGCTGCTGCTGGGGCTGATCCTGCTGAGGCAGGGGCCGGGGCTGGGGCTGATGGTGCTGAGTCTGGGGCTGTTGATGCGGGGACTGGGGCTGATCCTGCTGAGGCCGGGGCTGGGGTTGAGGCTGGTATTGCTGAGGCTGAGGCTGCTGCTGGGGCTGATGGTGCTGAGTCTGGAGCTGAGGCTGGTATTGCTGAGGCTGAGGCTGGGGCTGGGGTTGCTGCTGCGGAGACTGGGGCTGATCCTGCTGAGGCAGGGGCCGGGGCTGATGGTGCTGAGGCTGGGGCTGGGGCTGCTGCTGCGGGGCCTGGGGCTGAGGCTGGTATTGCTGAGGCTGAGGCTGCTGCTGCTGCTGGGGCTGATCCTGCTGAGGCAGGGGCCGGGGCTGGGGCGGCTGCTGCTGCCGTGGCGCCCGGCGCCGGCTGCCGGGGGAGGCGGCCGGGGCTCCCGGGGGGCGCGGCTGCTGCTGGTGCTGCTGCTGCTGCTGCCGCTGCCGCTGCCCCCGCCGCTGCGGAGCGACCGGCTGGGGGTCGCCGCGGGGCCCGCGCAGCCCCTCCTCCCCTACCAGGTCCCGGTACCTCTTCTTGAGCACCACGCACTTGGTGCCGTCGGGGTCCTGGCGCACGGCGGCCACCGAGTTGACGAGGCTCTTGAAGAGCTCGCGGCGCTGCTTCAGCTGGCCCGGGGGCACGCCGGGGTCCCGCAGGAAGCGCTTGAAGTGGCCCAGCAAGGCGGCGTTGGTGACCCGGCCCCCGGCCTGGCACAGGAAGTCCAGCAGCTCCTCCTGGCTCAGCTCCCGGGCCATCTTCCTCCTCCTGCTCCCCGGTGCGTGTCACCTGCTCCCGGGGGCAGGCCCGCCGCCCTCCGTGCGCTGCAGGCTCTGAGTCCCGGGGCTGGGGGGCGCGCCGGGGTCTCCTCCGGCCCCCTCCGGGGGTGGCTTTGGCTCAGCCCGCCCGCCCGTCTGGCCGTCCTGGGCGGCCGAGGTGGCCGGGCTGGGTCGTGCGTGCGCGGTTTCACCTGAACCCTTCGGGCTCCTCCTCCTGGGCGCGGGGGGGGGGGGGGGGGGGGGGGCCGCGCCCCCCCCCCCCCCGGGGGCCCCCCGCGGGGGGGGGGGGGGGGGGGGGGGAAGGGCCGGCTCGGCGGCCTCCACGCCCTCCTCCCGCTCTCGGTTTCTGCCCCCACCCCGCCATGGAAGATGAGTCAAGCCGGTGTGAGCTGGCCGAGAGTGGGGCTGCAGGTGAGGTGCGAGGAGGGGGCGGCAGCTGCGTGCGGGAGCCCCGGCCACCTGGAAGGTGGCTGCCCGCGGGCATCCTCCCGCCTAGACGTAGCCCTGGGGAGAGGGGGAGGGGGAGGGGGAGGGGGAGGG